AAAAAAAAAAAAGCCCAGAACTGCTTTTCTGACTGATATGACACAAACAATGTTAACCATTTGTACATTCTCTAACACGCATATTTTAGATTCACAATTCATTTAAAAGCCTCTGGTGTGTAAAAATAGTAAATATCATCATGTCCTCCTGTTTTTTTTACCATTATAAAAGTTATAGGAGCTTTAAATAGTTAATAAAGAAACTTCATTCTAATGCTCATTATATTAGCGCTAGCCGCGCTTATGCTAACGATTAACTACTCTAATAACAGCGATGTGCATTTCAATCCGACATTCAAATTAAAATATTGAATAATATTCATAACAGAAGCGGTGTTTCCCACAGACTTGCACTCTATTTGTGGCGGCATATATATGCAAATTCATTCTCTGCCAGCAGGAGGCGTTGTTGGAGTGGGAGAGATAGGAGTTAGAGGTCTGCATTCCCCCGGCTCTCCCGACCAGATTTTTTGCGCCGCGGGATTAAATTCCCGAATAAAACACGGTAGCGGTCGGTAACTCTGGTGTAATTTGAACGGGAGCTGGCTGTCTAACAATATCCAGTTCCCGACGTCCATTTAGAACAGCATATCTGCGCTTTATTCTTATTGACCAGCGGTACAGCTGGTCAATAAGACTGTTATGCACGCGCTGCACGCATGCTTTCAGCATCACGCCTTTTATTTGCGGGGTCTGTGCGCAGCATGTGCATAACGATGCTCAGAGCAGGCTGTACCTGTGGTAAATATACGACCCTCAGACAGAACAGGCAGGTTGTCGACGAGTGACAGAGCAGAATAAGGATGGAGCAAAGCATCATCGGTGTTGCATAAAATATTAAACAAATTTTTTGTCTTAATATAATTTATATAAATTCAAGTCAAAGTCAATAAATTCAAGACTCTTGACAAGACGAATAAAATGACATACAATTTTGTGCAGACTACACTTTTATTTGTCAGCCTATCTCTCTTTCTTTCAGTAGCGGAAATTTAAATGTGAGATTCTGTAAACGGTAACGGCTATAATAAAATAAGTGCTCCGCTCACAAACGCTGCTCAGGCATTACAGGCAAGATGAAATGAAAATGACATCCATAATTTTCTGAAGACAGTCGGTCTCCTTCAGAAATACAGTGATATATAAACACTCGCACCGGGTTTCGACTTTGACACGTGCAGTGCTCATGTTTATTCAACGAAGTCAAAGCCTTTTGGAAAATCTATTTGTGGCGGCGAGTTTTGATATTGTGGCGGGCGCCTCAAATAAATCAATGTATGGGATGAAATGAAACTTACCTGCTTGAACTCTTTCATTTGATCCGGGTGTCTGTCTTTAATTTTTTTTGTTAGTTTGGTGTGTTTCCTCGTTTTGATGTCGCCATGTCTTAGTGCTTTTATGAAGAGAGCGCATCTGCGCACCTTTCGGATAGCGCATCAAGAACCGGGTTGACCGGGTACTCGGTACCACCGGTACATAAAAAAACCTGGTACCGTAACGTTTTCACTTTTTTTAGTACCGCGACCCCTAGAGGACGCAGTTCGAAGTTCCCATGAAAGGGAATCCAGAGTTCTTCCTCTGTGGAGGTGTGTACAGTGATGGTGACTGGCTTCAGTATGTTGTATGAATGAATGATCAATAAAGTCATTGTGTAAATGCACAAGTACAGTTAGGCTAACTGTATTTCTGAATGTCTGAAGTGTTCATTCAGTGTCAGTTATAGTCAATGAAAGCAACCAAAGTGCCCTTGAAAGCTGAATTAAATATAGTAAAATTATGTGACAGTGTGGTTTTAGCTTTTTATTTTGAGCATTTAAGCATTTATAACAGGTGTCACACTCAGTGGTTGACTGATATAGTTCTGCATTTATAGTTTCTTAACTTTGCTGAAATAATTTTTTTCTTAACTTTGTAAATGTCAGTTCTGCCAGTTATGGAACAACAACAATATAAAAGTCTTCTTTCTCTCTCTCTCTCTCTCTCTCTCTTTCTTTCTTTCTTTCTTTCTCTAATGAACTACATCAAGCATAATCACTCTCTTGTTTTTGTTCTGTGTCCTCAGAACCCCAGAGTCCTACCAAAGTTGTCCGTGTCAGCAAACCCAGATCCAGGAAGACCAGTAAGGTAAGTAATTTTTATGCAGTGGATCGCCAACAGTGGAGCTGCGACCTGCATTTATTTGTTTAATGGAGATGAAATCATAAAATTTTATCCCTGCCATTAATTATAGATACTATATAAATCCATATGGACAGATTATATATTTTTTTATCTGTCTATTTGTGTAAATCGGCAGTTTTTTCCTCCAGTCTGTTTGTGTAACAGAATCTGGATGTACTGGATCAGAGGTCAGCAGCAGCCAGTCATTGAGCAGATTGGCTTGTGTTTGTATTTAAGTGGATATTTGTTCGCTCTGTTCTGTCTTTTGTGTGGATGATAGTCAACAGAGAGTCAGCACATGAGTTTTTGACTTTTACCTCAGCGGGTCATTCCAGAGAGAGCACATAGAGGGCTCAAATTCAGTCCTAAAGGGGACAGTAGAGTTGTCCCCATGACTGACTCCAAGGCATGTTAGTTTGTCTCCACTTACTGACACATACAACACTCGACAGGTGCCCTTGTACATTCGTGACCCCTAGCATGTTATTCTATGCTCATTCCTCATGCATAAATTTTTTTTTTTAAAGGAATGTGACATGTTTGGGTTGTTTTGATCAGCCTTGTTAGTTCACGACGTTGGTTACACCATTTTAACTCCAAGGCACTGCCTTACAAATTCAGTTTCTACGGTCTAGCTTTAGCATCTGGGACACCCAGGACCCATTTCTGGACGATAGTGGAATCCGATACGCTGCTTGGAATTCTAGGTTGCTTTGCGGCTTGAGGAATGATTGACGTTCCTCCGGTAATAGAAGGTGAAATGATCTCTGAGGAAGGAACAGCCACACTTCCCACATGGCGTCCAAATAATGTTTTGTGTGTTAAATTAGGGCTGGGTAAAAAATATCGATATCTCGATATTAATCGATTCTCATTTTTTCGGAACGATATCGATTCTTAAATCCCAAGAATCGATTAATCTAGCCTGTTTTCAGTTAATGGACGGAACACTGAAGGGCACTTCCCATTAGGCCTATCACAATAACAGCTTTTTGTTGTGCGATATATTGCCCCAGAAATAATTAAATGCCGTTTTGGCGCTGTTTAATGTGGAGTGACAGATCGCTGTAGCGCCTCAGTTCAACAGACGCGGCAGCACGAGGCGCATGTGAACTGATCATCTCCTCCACATTAATTTACCAGTTTCAGCACAAAATAACCATGACTAAACATCCGAAGGTAAGTTCAAAGAAAGAGTACAACTTTACAATCCGTATCCTGTCTCATGTAATCGCTCAATCAGTGTTTCAGCCGCGCAAAGACGTCAATATAACGGCTTGTAAACAATGTCACGTAACGTCACATTTACCTCAGAAAAACATATTTGGTGACCATAAACTCATTAGTCAGCTGAAAAATAAACTGTAGAGAGGGGCATGTTGCTAAATATATGCACCATATAACATATTCATTATAAATTTGACTGTTCTTCAATGTTTAATTTATGTTTGAATAAATTCATCAAGTTTTTATGACAGCCACCGTTTATATAAAAAAAACGAATTGAAGTAGAAATATTATGTAATTGTGACTTTATTATTTTAAAAACTTCATTAAGTGACTACATTTTTTAAATTTTAACCTTCAGTATTATAGTAATGTAGTACCAACTGACTCTCATGTATATTTTACAGCATTAGTTGAGAGATTTTTTTTTCTTTGAGAAAATTTGGCATGTACTGTACCTGATATATATCCAAAATAATCGATATTGAATTAAATTGGTAATCGAATCGAAAATCGAATCGAATCGCAAGCTTGTGAATGAGAATCTAATCGAATCGTGAAATTTGTGTCAAAACCCAGCCCTATGTTAAATACTGACAAAGTTGTCGTGTAGATGGAAACTCGACATGAGGAGTATTTGACGAACAGATGTCAGTGGAGTGGAGCAGCTGCCTTTTCATAAATCATTCAAACTGGACGTTGAGAGAGCATGCATCTGCGCATTGCTTTTCAGTTTGACAGTCATTAGGAAATAATGTTGTCTTTTTTTATTTTTCTGTTTGTTCAAATCAAATAAGGTGGTGTTAGTTTTCTGCGTTTCCCACTTATTTCCTAACACAAGAATTGGCTGTTGTAGTAATAGATCATGATGAAGGATGGGAACTTTCAATACAGATGTAACTTTTGTTTCTCCTTTTCCTTCGTTCCCATTTGCAGTCGAGTGACTTCAGTGACATCACAAACTGGCCTACCCCTGGAGAAATCGCCAATAAGGAGGTGAGGAAGACACTGCATTTCAATTTAAATCTAGCTGTTTTATATTAAATTTTGTTCAGTTTTTTCAGGCCTTTATTATTTGATTTACATAATGAAAACACTGACACATTATTTTATTACCATGTGATTTTGATGTGGGACATTATAATAATTACTCATTTCTTAGTATGTTCAGCTTGAAACGGAAGAGCAGCTGTGTATGATTTCTACTGTTACTAATGGTCTCATATTAATATTTCTAATTTTAATTTGTTACTTTAGTCTTGGAAGACCTGGATGCTGTATATGAGTGAAGTTTAAAAATCATGGCAATTTCTATAATGAATATTATTTTTTGTTGTTATGTCAAGTTCAAAAATATTTCATAAAGTAGAAATTGCTAAAAAAAAATTAAACGGTAATCATATCTGGTTATCAAGACCATTCATTGGTTGTAAAGAAGTGAACCCTGAAATACATTTAGTTCTTGAAACGTCAGAAAATATGGAATTTAATTTATTTTAGATATGCATATATCAACTTGGAAGGTGGGTGTCTACAAGTCAAAAAGGTTTAGGAATAGTTCAAGAAATATAACATAAAATAAAAAAAAGATTAATACATTTATAAAATGAAATAAATCCTGGCATTCTTCACCCTCTTGACTTTCCAGAGCCTCATGATTGTTTTTTTTTCTTCTGTGAAAGGCAAAAGGACATTTACTAAGATTGGGACTTACAAGTAACTAGTAAAGTAACGCATTACTTTGTTTTCCCATTTATTCACTAACACCTTAACTGTCCCCAAGTTGAGAGAAATTGGGAGCGAGGTGCAGAGGCACTTCCTTTAGTCTGAGGCTTATTAATTTCACTTTTGGTGTGAAAGGGCTTTTACAGTTGACAAATATATAACTTTTGGGTTTTTTGTTATTTATAAAGCAATAAAGCAAGTAGGCCTATATAAATTATAAAACAAATAAGCAAGCCCAGCCCAGGTGACAAAAAGTAACGCAAAAGTTAACGCAAAGCATTACTTTCCATAAAAAGTACTGTAATAAATAGTTACTTTTTTATGGAGGAACACAATATTGTAATGCATTACTTTTAAAACTTTCCCCAACACTGTTCAAATCATGTATTTGTGCGCATACAACATGTTTCTTGAAAAGACTTGGATTATAGCGCACAAATAATATGGAGCATTTTTGACCATGATTGTATAGATCCAATTTACTTTCATTGAATGGGAAAGTGCAGCCTGGACGTTCAGTTAAACATCTTCTTTGGTGTTCCATGGAAGAAAAAATCTCATTCAGCTCAGCTCCAATAATGAACTGTTACAATTATACACTAGGGGTGTGACGAGACACTTATCCCACGAGACGAGACTGGGTTCACGAAAACGAGACGAGACAAGATTTTTAGACTTCTTTTAAAGAAATCCTCAATGATGAAATATATAGGGAAAATAGTTAAGCACGATTAATGTATCCATTTAAAAGAATAAAGCAGTGGTTCCCAAACTGGGGGGCGCAGCAAGGCTGAGGGATAGTTGGGGCCCTATGAAATCTGTTTTATTTTTTCTCAACATATTATTTATATTTTTTATAATTAATTAATAATAAAATTATTAATTATTAATTATTAATTTATTCTTTTTTTTTCATAAAAGTAGGAAATTGATCAGCGCGTTTCTCAGAGAAGGGACAGAGCGGTGTGGGATAAAGGTAAATTATGTGAAAAATAATGTGTTTTTTTTTTTAAATGAAGCATTAACACATGTTAGACTGCACCCCATAAACACAATCAAGCCTAGAAAAAAAACACTGAACCACCCCTTTAAATGAACTATGCCTTCATGTCTCTCTTTCTGCATATGTATCTGTATGTTTGTCAGTGTTTAGGGCAGAGTTAAGATCTATGAAATGAAGGCTTTATGCACTGTCAAAGAGTGTTCTTTCCATATCACGTGCCTGCAGACTTGTGGGAGAAATGTATCTGTTGGTTTTCACTGACTGGACTGCTGGCTTCATTCTGCTAAGTTCAGGTTTAATTGACTGAGAGATTGATTTGATTGTGCCCCTCAGCAGCAGCAGAATGTGATAAACGTGCAGGTGAGGAAAGGGACGTCTGGACGGTGGGAGAGGAAGAAGGATCGCGGGGGAGAGAAGAGAGAGAAGGAGAGCGGAAGTGATGGGAGTGACAGTAAGGAGAACAGGGAGGCGCAGTCGGATCCAATCACAGGACTTTCGAGTGAGCAGGAGACAGAGGATGGAGTGGAAATGCACAACAGTGCCGCCCACAGGAGAGGAGGTGAGACAGACTGACAACATTAAAGGGTTAGTTCACCCAAAAATTTAAATTAGGCTGTGTTTTACTCACCCCCAAGGCATCCTAGGTGTATATGACTTTCTTCTTTCAGACGAATCCAGTCGGAGTTATATTAAAAATTGTCCTGGCTATTCCAAGTCTATCATTGTAGTCAGCAGGTGTTGCAGTGCTTCAGTCCAAAAGAAGTAAAATAAAAAGTGCCCATCCATAAAAAAAGGGTCTCACACGGCTCCGGGGGTTGAACAAAGTCCTCCTGTAGCGAATCGATGTGTTTTTGTAAGAAAAATAACCATATTAAAAACGTAATAATCACTTTAATCTAGCTTGTGCTCACTGTTGTAAACGGAAGCAGTTCCGGGCGGATGAAGTATGAGGTCGGCGTTGCGCATGCGCCGCTCAGAAGTGACGAACACGGAAGCGCAGGGGAGAGATCAAAACAAAACAACGGTACTAATTAGAAGTACAAAACGAGGATTTGTAAAGAAGAATGCCAGAGGATTTCGATATAAGATAAGAGGAGACTGGTTTTTCTTTG